ACTGATTGTGTTAAGGTGCGCACATCAACTAAATGTAAAACGCTCTATGTGGTAATATAACACCAAGCTATATAACTTCTATCTATCTGAATTTTGTATCCTGTCTTCAAGATGTTTCATATCGACAGATGCAAATTTTTGAAATTGATCATAATGACGGAGGTGTAGCCACTGGTTATCATCGAAAGATTCAACACTTTTAACCTACATTTATTAATTCTTCCGCATCTCCTACACCTTTCTCACACTTTACATAAAGCTCTAAGAGGAAAATGCACAATCTGTTTACTCTTTATGTATAAAAATAATAATTGAGTTCGAAATTTAAACTAGACCTTTGGAACATTCTAAACTATTAGTCTCATACTCTAAGGATTGAACCTGATGATCATGCAGTTCGATTCATCCCTGTCTTTTTAAAGTAGTCTCAGTAATTGTGACAACCTTGACAAGACAAGACCGATAGCTGCTACCTTGACGTGGTGGTTGGGCTTGCATATCACAATGACCCAATGAGCTATGCTAGTGGAACACTTGTTCCCTCGAGGTCCTACCATACCAGAAAGGTCTGTTGGATAGTGGTTAGACGAAAAGCAGTTACCTTTTTGGTGTAAATTACTACACTATGATGGGGTCTGAGGGCGAAACCATACTGCTGCTAGCTGGATGGGGTGTGACAGCAGTAAGGTTAAGGTGTTTCGCTTGAATGACGAGCAGTGCCATGCTGTCTTCTCAAAAGAAGCGGGGGTGGTTAGAAAAGGTCGTCCCCAAAAATAACACACTCCACCATACCCCACGGTCTGCCAGGCCGGTGGTGTTGGTTCATTTGTCGTTTCTTTTGGACCATCCTGCCCCAAAACAACGAAAGTTCAAAATAATCATACACAAAAGGCTGAGTGTGACAGGCCTCAAGCAGATGTCCGATGGGCTCTGCAGTCACACAAATCTCTCTCTGGTACCTTAAGAAGAAACAGCCTTCCACAATGTGGGCAGCCGGGAAGTATCAACAGCACTTACAACTCTGTCGGCACTCAAGTTTCCTCAGATTGCTATCCACCTCTCCCATTATTGCCTTCTAATCTTCCTTCACGTCTTACAACTAACGATACTACATCATCTTCAATTTCTCCTAGCTCTGAAGCCTTTGACAACTATCTGAGTCCACAAAACAGTTAATGGGTCTAATTCGACGGCTAGAAATAAAGTCCATGAAATCTTTCTAGTGTAGATCTAAACTTTTCAATAACTTTATTTTACATCTTCAGCAACTCTAAAACATGAAAACTTTTATTGATTGAATAATCAAAAGTCTAAATTTTTAATTGAAAAACACCAAAAACTATACATTTACACCAAAGCTGTTTCATCACAACCGAATGAGAACATTAAACATGTTTGATGTAGATTTGGTGTAATATATGACAAAGAATATGCAACCACAGTATTTTGGCGTGTTTCTTGTTGACTATTAGACTTTGACCGTCAAATTGATAAGAGTTACTGTTTTTAGATTCTGTATAACTTTGAAATTCAATGGAGAGAAAACCATCCTTACATTTAAGTGGTCCCAACATGCAGCTTCATGATATAATCGCTTTTTTTACATGAATTAGTCTTCTTAGTATTTATTGACATACTTGTTATTCTCCGTTGTTTTGTTGGGTCGAATTGTTCGACCTCTATTGTCATATGGGCTCCTATGCGGATGCCTCGACGTTGCCTGAATGTTAATTATGATAAATTGGTTGGTTGTGGCTAGCAGAAGAATCCAAGACGCACGTTTCGTCCTATTCGGGACTCACTGGTTAACTGGATGTACCTGCACCCCAACAGTGTTGTCCCCACTGAGACTCGAACCTCGTACCCATCGCTTCAAATGCTAAGGCGTTATCCACTATGCCGTAAAGGAACGATAGCCACCTCTTGTACAACGGGTAGTAGTTATTACTATTCATTGACATACTTGTTATTCTCCGTTGTTTTGTTGGATCGAATTGTTCGACCTCTATTAGTCTTTTCGTTTAAAAAGTGGGACAAAAATGCGATATAATGCAAATGTATTCAGATTTTTTAATATCTCTTAAATAATAGGAGGTTGAAATAACAATAATGGTGGTTATCATAATCATGTTACTGGTTGATGGATGTTAAAGTTGAATGGTAACAAAAAGAGTTACGTAAGATTTTTAAACCGTTTATAAGGTGCATATAGATTACAGAGGGGTGGAAATGTGATAGAGTTAATAAACAATCAAAAGATTAGGTAATATGAATGAAACAAGTTAGACTGGTAAAATGAAAATGTTTTGTTAAAAGTTTGAATTATTGGGAAGATTAAATGAAGTTATACCAGAAACTATTGAATACAAAAATAATGCTAATGATAACGATAAAAGAGTGCGAAGATTAATCTAACAAAGTGAGAAACAAACGAAACAAACTAAAAGCAAAATAAGTTAAAGCCAAGCTAGAGATAAAAACGGTACATTCTTCTTTTGCGCACGAAGGTTACGCTTCTGTTCTTAGAAGCTGTTTTTAGAAGTTGAAGACGGAGGAAACGTGAGATATTTGAGCGAATCCCATAGACAAACCTAAAATCATTGTTTGGGCTGGTTGAATGGTTGGAATCGATTAAATGTTCAAAGATAGAATTTCCTTTAAGTTTCTCCCGTTCATGGTGATTGGAGCTTGTTGTCGGTTGGGTATCTTCATCACCTCTGTCTTCTCTACATTCACTTGAAGTCCCGTTTTCGCTGCCCTGCCTCTTCTGTCAACTTGTTAGTTTTCTCCTGCAGATCTTCCAGTTTGTGCAACATTAGACACAAGTCATCGGCGAAATCCAAGTCTTCTAGGTTCTTTTCCGCGGTCCAGCGTATCCCCGTGTTCTCGCTCCTCACAGTTTGTTGCATGATCCAGTCCACTACAATCAGGAATATCATGGGTGATAGTAGGCAGTCTTGTTTTACCCCTGTCTTCACTTCACTGCAAAGGCATCACTGAGCTTCCCATTGTGAATTACTTGGTATGTGGCGTCTTCATATAGTTGTTCAATGAGATTGATAAATGTTTGTAGTATTCCGTAGTGTTGAAGCAACTACCAAATTACTTGTCGGTCGACGCTATCAAAAGCCTTTTCAAAGTCGATGAAGTTGAGATAGAGAGTTGACTGCCATTCTATACAAGGTATAGAATAGCGGATTCCAATTCTCTCCCTGCAGGGAATTATAATGCTGAGTGACAGTTATTGAACTCGCGTAGAATGTCATCAGGATTGATATTTGAGTCCCAAATAACGAATATATCATCTATATATCATTTGTGGATCTCAAAATGATTAGTAGTTTGCCTAAGACTAGAATTTTCTAATTTTGGCATTAACTGATCTGCCACTAGGGGTCCCAGTGCGGATACCATCGCAATCCCATCATTTTACGGGTATATCTCATCATCAAAGCCGAATTTGACATTTAAAATACATCTCATCAATAGGTCTCTCAAGTAGTTTGTTGGAATTCCTACTTCTGTATTGTGTGAATCGATGAAATCACATATGTGACATATGTAACATACAGTTTCAGTGAGTGGTACACTGATGAACAATAAGGCAACATCTACGGAAAACGTAAGTTTACCAGTGGTGTCAAGATCTTTACTACTATCAGTAAGCTCAAATGTATCACGAATAGAACCATGTGACGCTTGTCTTCTGACTGGTTCCATTATTTCAGCTAACCATTGGGCTGTACAATGATAAGGAGAACCTAACATATCCTAAAACGGGCGAAGAGGTAATCCTGCTTTTTATATTTTCGGCAATCCATAGAGACGTGGAATTAATGAACGAACGGGGTGGATGCGTTCATACAAATTAGAGGAAATCAACACATTATCCTTCATTTTCTTCAGTATACTTGTGAGTTGGATGTCGATCTATTATGTTTTATTCCTCTCACCTTCAAGTTTATTAAACTTTGTTTGATTGGAGAGAATCGACAGCATTTTATTGACGTATTCCTGATGACTCATCAGAACAACATCTCCTTTATTAGGACAACTTAAGATGATGTCATTATCATTATCAATGAGCCACTAGAGTTGTGTTATATGATTCTTCGTCAGCAGATGGTTCAGACTAGATTTTGAATCAGTGAACTGGTGACAGCAGTCAAGTGCAGTCGATTTGAAATGTTGGAAATCCTATAATGGTGCCGTAACAAGACCGAAAGTCTAAGTAGTTGGGTGTTCAAATTGCACCTAATTGTAGAGTCTGTTAGCCTTCGAAGTGCTGCCGCAGAACTTTGTACTCAATGATAAGGTTCGTAACTGAATTTTCGAGAGAAATACCGAAGAATAATTAAATACATATTTGTCAGGATTGTTGGGGAACTTTCTTTCTATAACCACTTGGTTTCAGGCTGTCAAGCTGTTTCAACCTGATAGATTGAGACTACTTTTCTGAGACAATGGAGATATAATCCTCAAATTGTCTGCGTTCATCTGTCGATAAGTCATGAAGGTGATGGCTTCTCAAAGATACATTTCTTTCCAACTCGACAATATGAAAGATAAGAGCATCAGCGCGGTTTAAAGCATGAGCTTCAGTGTCTTCGAATTTGGGTGAGTACAGTTTCAGCTGAGCACCGGCCAGAGACATTTTAGATACTAATTACGAGTAATGCAATTTTCATAGAAGGTTAACCTCATATTTCACCGAAGCAAGTTTGACGGAGTGACGTAGAAACCCATTGAGTTCCTTCATCGTTATTGGATCCTTGCATTTTTTCAATACATTCATAATTCCCATTGTTGTTCTAATGAATTATCAGAAATATTTCGATAAAATGCTGTCGATTCTCTCCGATCAAACTAAGTTTGATAAACCTGAAGGTGAGAGGAATAAAACACAACAGATCAAGATCTTTTAAATGTCTATATAATACTTGTCATTATTAGTTCATCGTGATGTAATTTGTTCCATTTGCTTTTTACTCCCCCTATAGAGATCCCTTTGTATCATGTCTTGAATGCATGTGTTTCATTTGGTAATTTACACGGACAAGATAATAGTGTCTATGGGGTTTCAACTGTACCTATCAGTAATTCTCCAAACTCAGGTCAGTACAGATCAGATCCTATAGATCCGCATAAGAAGACAGATATATCCACTGTTACTTCGACTGCTACTTCAAAACCGAAATCTGATGACCATATCAATCAGCCATTAATTGATTCATCTACTGAGTCTAATTCATCTTTACAACCAGTTAAATGTATTATCGATGAAAGTGTATTCGATGTGGGAAAAGGTTATCATGTAGTTGGTAAGTTGAAAAACTTATGTAGACTTTCTGTGACTTGTATGGTTATTCTTTTCAATATCTACTACTAGTATAATGGTTTAGTGTCTGAATATTTATTTGATTCTCGGTATGAAAACTTTGAGAGATATTCCAGTTGGTATTCATCATAGGCTGACAACAGTTAGAGAAACACTGGAAGCCTAGGAGCATTAGAAAGCTGTTTTGTCTTAGTAGGAAAATCTCCAGCAGTGCGCACTCATAACCCCACCTGAAATCGAATCGAAGACCTTCAAGTCCCGTGGCTAGCACGTTACCATTCAGCCACTGGGTCGGAATTCATCTTCACTAACAGTGTGCAAACCTGACTATTAGGTAGGGAATGTTTTTCTTTGGTTTTCAGAAATTGTAACGGTTAAGTGTAAGTATATTTCAACGTGAAGCACCATTTTAGATATTGTCTCAACTTTTCTTTAACCTGTTCATTTAATGATGAATTTATTTTATATAGAGGAAAGTAGTAGTAGTAGTAGTAGCTGATTCAGATTGTTGTAACTGACCTCAAAGTTATTCTTGTCTATAGATAAGAAGGCGAATGAATTATGAGAAAAAAGTTCGTAGCCGAAGAAAATCTTTGTGAAATAGGTAAACACTTACCTTACTGTCTTCGGAAGGGATATAATACGCACGCTTAACTAATAGCTAACTTCGTACGCAAGAGCCACCAACTGTGCAACCAATTCAAAAGCACGTGACTATGTGTACACAGAAATATGACCTTGTCCGCAATTTGAGACATTGACATACTAAGAGTAAGGATTAACCAATCAGCGAGTTACATCACAATGGAGGCAAAAAATAAACTATTAGTCATGCTTTCAAAATGGTGTGAAAATGACAAGTTAAAAATGTTCAAATGGAATGTTTTATGCAAGACTAGGGCCTTAAGACACTTACACCTTCATGCTCAGTATTATTTACTTGATGACGTTTCGGGCATGAATTATTGCTCAGAATCATATCAATGTAACTACAGAGCTCATATTCCTTCTTTTTAGTGGTAGTTAAGTTTTCTACATCTCTGGTGGAGATGTTAAGTCATTTCTTCTACATATATTGGGTGTTGTTTGGATGAATAAAGATTCGGTAATCAATCTCTCTCCACCTTATTATATTAGATTTAAGTACAATCGCTTTATTTTACCCTATTGTATAGTTGTGTGTAAGGGCATGCATTGAAATAACCACGTTTCTTTCTAGATTAGGTGAGCATCGCTGATGAGTCCCGTACTAGGACGAAACAGCTGTTAACTGCTCTCAGGTTTCTAATGTTCCTCAATCTGATGTCAGTCCATGATGAATACCAACCTGTATCTTCATCTATTGATGAAATTATTAGATATTCGTTAAGTAAGATAGTAGTCGCAAGCTAAATCTGTAACATATTTCAATGATAAACTCTGCAAACCTCAATACTGAAAATTAAAAATGAGCATAAATTTGCCTTGTAGTTGAGGCTGCATCTTCCTAATGAATACAAACAAACTGGAAACTTGTTTCCAAAAGCCAACTGAGTGAACAAAGAATATTCTTTTATGATAACTTTTTCTTCAGGTCCTACAGTTACATGTACATACTGTTGAATCTTGCAGCAACAATCTTGACATTTCACTTATCAGTTTGTTAATAATATTAAACAGCTGAGAAAGTCAATTTAGAGAAGTCTTGTGTGAACATTAGTGTTAGAATCAGTTATTACTAGAATTCAATTCAAAATAGTGGATTATATAGTGTAGATAATACGAAGTAATAATGTGTTGATGAGAGTTGGACGAAATAAACTAGAAAAAGTTATTTGAGGAATAGTTGTATGTTGGCGAACAAAATAGATTGAGAGAATGTAATAAAATTATTTCAGACTATAAGGATGAAGGGGTATCTACAGTATGGAATTAGAAAATTCGATTATCTGGAGTAGGATGCTAGCGGAATTATGCGTCTTGAATGGAGTCACAGTAGTTATAGCAGCAACACTTACTTCTTTTGAACACATAACTCAAGTTGTTTGATCCTGATTGTTACTGTTTCTATAGTTTGAAGTTGATGGGAATCCAGTACAGGTAATAGAAAATGACTCATTTATATCTACTTTAAGTGTGCTAATATGAAGCTGGTACCGGGCTTTACCACACTGGGAGAGGTTTATCAGCATAGTACTCTATATCCTCTTTTTTGTATCATGTCCTTTATTATTATTGTCAATATTATTATTATTATTTGTCCCTTGGGTTCCTAGTGGAGCATAGGGCTTCAGTAGCACGTCTCCATTGCACTATGTTCTCTGCAGTCTTTTCAACCTGGCTCTACGACTGCCCACAAGCTTTCATTTCTTACTCACATGATCTCCTCCATGTCACCCTCGGCTCAGACGCCCAACTCATCGTTTCCCCTTTGGATTCCACTCGAGGGTCTAGCCTGGCGCGTGATGTCCCTGAATGGTTTTCTCAGTGTATGCCTAATCTATCTCCACCTTCTTCCGCATATTTGTTGGGCGATAGCTTCTTTGTTGTTTCGTTCCCAGAGTGAGTTCCTTGTTGCTTATTCTTTCTGGCTATCTGATCTTCAGTATCCAGTGAGCGTAGGCGGCAGCTGTTGATGTGTATGTCTGTAGTTTGTTAGAAATGCTTTTCGCGACGCTCCAAGTTTTTGAACCATTACATAGTAGCACTGACTTGACTGAATTGGTGTTGAAAATCCGTATCCTGTTCTTTATGCTGAGTGCAGTGGAGTGCAGAAGATCACACTGATTTCAGGTTAATGCAAGAAGGCCTGTCTTGATGTCCTTCCAATCCTGGCTTTAACGTCCTCATCTGTGCCTGTGACGCCTGTAGTTAAAACGATACTGTCTAGGTAGGTGAAAGAGACAACTTCCTCCAGATTTCTCCCTGTTATGGTTTCGCGGCGCTAATGGTATATGTATGTATTCCGAAACGATTATAATACGCGCGCTTAGCTGACAGCTAACTTGGTACGCAAGAGACACTGGATGCAACCACGGGACGAATAGAGAGAAGACCGAAGCTGGCACATGGAAGAGTGTATTACTCCGAGAATATAATACAATATAATGAATCAATCCAAAACACGTGAATAAGTATATACATGAAAAATGACCTTGTACGCAATTGGAGAAATTTGCATAGTAAGAGTAAAAGTTAACCAATCAGCGAATTACATTTCGATGGGGGACAGAAATAGGCTATTAGTCATACCGTAAAAATAATGTGGGAATGGCACGTTAAAATGTTCAGATCAGTAACAAGGTTTTATACAACACTGGGGCATCACAACACTCTCGTTGATGGATTAGTAGATTTTTTTATACAGCCATATGTCTATCAAATCTGACAGTGAATGTTCATGAAAGGTAAGCATAGAAGTGGACAGAGATAAATATTGATGCTTTTTTAAAGATGTGTATCAATATTATCCTTTCGTCCTTTCTTCACTCTATCATCTTCTTAAAGCACTTTTTCCTAACTTTCACTCCATTTTTTTTAAAGTTGAAAATTCACCTGGACACTATGGAGCTTTGTATGATGAGGAACAAATGGTTCAAATGGCTGTTCAACGTAGCTTAGTAGAATATGGATCAGCTGAAAATTTGATTCACAGAGATTATTCATTGGTATGTTAACTTTTTTTTCTTTTCATGATAGATATTGTCTTTCTATGAACACTATAACGTCAGTGTTAAGGGGGTTAGTGTTTCACTGTTATGAGTTTTTCGATCAAAATGCTGTTTAATTACTTCACACATATGGTAGTCAAGTTCTTACCATTCAGTTTGAATGCTTTGATACAAAGCACATTGAATAAAGTGTATTACTACTGAACAACTTGTGAAGTTGGAAACCATTCGGGTTGATCTGTAGTATTTCGCCAATCAGACCACAGTGATCTAAACACACCAGACAGCCGTTTCACTCATTTAGAGCTAAGCTCATCGTCTCACATTGAATAACCCACTTTGAATGTTTATTGATATCCAAACCAAATTGGAATTTGATGATTTGAAAAAATGTGGGCATTATGTATATGGTATTCTGAGGTAGTACTCATCACGGACTGACATCAGTTGAAAAACCATTGAAAGTTTGGCAGCACCGGATAGCTGTTTCGTTCTAGTATGCGACCCCCCAGCAGTACGCTTCCACGACCTTCAGGTGAACGCGTTAATCACTCAGCCACCGGATCGGAGTTCATTGATGGTTGACAGTTTCCAACCTCCATTAGTTCGCGATACAGTGCAACTATCACCCAAGGTCTTCAGTTGGGATCCGCTTCCCTTCCGACTGGTTGACCCCACATGTTATTGCTTCTCATTGGAACTTCAGCATATCCATCTACAAACATATCATTAATGAGCTTTATACAGTAATGTATTTTGAGTGTGTAGTGCTGAGGAGTCCCTTACCAGAACAAAACACCTATCCACTGTACCTTGGTTTTCAATCTTTCTCCTACTAATGTCAGTCCGTGATGAACACTACCTCAAAATTGAAACCTTTATTCACCTCAAAATACATTACTGCGTGGCGCTTATTAGTGCCATGCTTCCATGTGAATATCGTGAAAGTTTAATGAGAAACCGTTTGTGACCTGTGAGGTCAACTAGTCGGAAGGGACTCGGATGCCATGTGAAGACCTTGGGTGACAGTTGCACTATATCGCGAATCGACAGAAGTTGAAAACTGTGAACCTATGAACTCCCATCCAGTGTCTGAATGGTTAACGCATCCCCCATGAAACCTGAAGGTCTTGAGTTCGATCCGTAGCTGGTCATAGGCGCATACTTCTCAGGAGTTGCATACTAGAACGAAACAACTATCCAGTGACCCCAAGTTTTCATTAGTTCTCCAATTGATGTCAATCCGTGATGAGTACTATCTCAAAGTTAAAATCCCCATTCACCTCAAAATAAATTCAGTGATGTTCAGTATTTTGGTATGATTTGTAATTCCTAATGTAAAACAAAATTAATGTGTTTTGACTGATGTTTCTCCGTTTAGTGCTGCTAATAGCCTTATCAAAGTTATGGTAAGCCGGAATTTGCATAATGTCATAAGAAGACGAAGGTTATCTTTTTGCACTATACAAATTTATCAAAGAAACTGATTATTTCTAACCGGGATCTTCAATATCCCCCAGTTTAATATGATCATTTGATATGTGTTCTTCTGCGTGAATGTGATTTTGCGTTTTCAACTTCTTGAAGTAAGGATGATATTCATATGTAGTGTATAGTGTGTGTGTGAAGAGTGTATGAATTAAAGACAGAGATTTGTATGTACACATGTATATTGGTCATGTCAGTATATGGAGGTAGATTGAGACAAAGTCAAACTACATTTTATTCCTTCATTCCTATGAGATGTTTTATATAATTTCTCAAGCCTTTCTAAATAATTACGATACTGTCAAAATCGACCATGTGACTTAAAATTACAGCATATAAACCTATTGCTAAAGTGTTTTTAAACTATTTCAGTTCCAGTAGATTTCTAGGGGATCGGGTGGAAGCTCTTCGGTGTTCATTTTTTTTTCTAATTTTGATTTCACATGAAGTTTGTCTTATGTATATTGCATCACAGTCTAAGCATTTTACTTTATCAACACAATTAGATTGTAAATCTACAGAGATCTCGTCCATCAAATGAGCTAAGGTGCTCTGTAATGTAATTGATGTTTTGCAGACCACTTTGATATTGTATTTGTTGAACACTCTCCTAATTTCATCCGATGTATATGATCTGTATCGGATGATTATTGTTAAAGCTCATAATTTTGAAGTGTAGTCTTACAATCTAATTTAATGTTATTTTCTATTTTGTGAATGAATTTCATCGGATAAATATTCATTTTAGTATCTTTTTCACATACCTTGATTCCTTAATACTTTCATTTTTATCTCTTATTGGAGTATGTGCTCTTCTTAATAGACTGCAGGTAACAGAAGCTTTCTCACTAATTGGATTTGATGAGTTGAAATCTAAATATTTGTTCGAATGCGTTGCTTCCTAGAAAAAAGTTATAGCTAAATATCCATTTTCTGTCCCCTTAACAAGACAATCAAGGAAAGGCACTTCCCTCTTAACCGTTTTTTTTCTGAGCTGGACTTGATGCTAGTTAATCTAGAGTTCAGCTGATCTAGGAATATCTGGTATAAGTCACTTTTAAAATTTACGAAGGTGTCATCAACATACTTCAGTCAAACTTTTTTTGCAGCAAAGATGCTTTCTTCCAGTTTACTCATAAATAGGTTAGCTACTATGAGTGAAACAGGTGACATAGCAACACCGTTAGTTCCCCTGCATAGTTTCTCTTTAAATGGGAAGTAAGTAGTCTCTAAGCGAAATTTTAGAGCCTTGGTGATGTCACTGCTATTCGCCAGACATTTTTCTGTCAATGCTGTGTCTAGGTCTAGTAAATTACAAATAATTTTTATCTTTCATAACTTTAAGCGTATAGCTATTTATTCCTTACTCAATGGCATGCATTCATGTCATTTGAGAATGTTTGGGATGCATTTCTCACAACGCAACTGCAAATTGTTGCTCCAGGATTGGTCTTCAACGGTGCCTCGGCTAACAATGCAGAGTGAGTGTAGTGATTGGGTGTATCGACCACTTCACTTACCTGGGAGGTAGGATCAGCCCTGATGGCTCAGTAGCCGATGAAATCTCGACATGGATGCAAAAGGCTCGATTGGCTTTTGCCAACTCACGCCACCTATGGCGCCGCCATGATATCCGAATGTCTATTAAGGGTGGGGTGTACTGCACAGCAGTTCTGTGTGTTCTACTGTATGGCTGTGAAACATGGCCACTGAAATTGGAAGACATGAGAAGACTTCAGGTGTTTGACCACCGTTGCCTTCGTAGTATAGGCCATATTCATAGTGTCTGCATGTGAGTAACGCAGACGTCTTGTGTAAAGTTTTATGGAGAAGAGGTAAGATTGTTTATGGGGTTGTGAACCTTCATCGACTAAAATGTCTGGTTGGGACATGTGTTACGTATACGTTGCCACCGACTGCCTCGTCCTATGTTGATTCAGATGAATGGATGGTTTTGCTCACTTATATCAAAGATACAATTTGACAATCCCATATATTTTTAATCAACGTATAACGTTGACATAAATCTTCCCTGTTACCAAAGGCTTAAATTTCACCTAATCAAGCGTTTGGTAACAAAATCAATAGACAATGCAGCATTAACGAGTGAAGTGTGTATACTGGAAAAGCTTAAAGACGTTTTGTAGTAAAGATTACTTTTTATGTTATCATTTAGCCACTGGGTTGAAATCCAGTGATCTACAGTTTCCTACTTCTGTCAATTCACGATATAGCGTGACCTCCTTCCATACCGTCGTTGAGTAACTATCTTCGCGCCCGAGTTGTTTGGCTCCACCAATCACAACTCACTGCAACTAGGGGAATCTCATCACTAGTGAGGTTATGAGTAAACTCTTGACGAGTCTCATAGTAGAACGAAACAGTTGTCCAGTGCTCCCAGGTTCCCATTGTTCCTCTAACTGATGTCAGTATGTGACGAATACCAGATTGAAATCAGTAAATAAATCTCCACAAGCCTCTAAATTGAAACAATCACTTTTTTGTGATCATTATTGTCATACTAGATATTTTGTCTTTTCAATTTTGTGTCATTATTCAAGTCTGATGAGTCCTTTTAAAAAATAGTTTTTATCAAGAATTTACTTTGATGATAATATGTTTATCGTATGTAGTCTGGAGCTTTTTGTTTCGATCATAAAAATGGTTTAAAGTGGGTTTGTATTTGTCTAAAATTAGAATGATGAAACGGTTCTACCTTGACACGATGGTCTCAACAACCCATGTTGCCTGAAATGGTTTTTCTGTAATATCTTACCATACTATGAAGGTTTTTTTTAGATGATGTCCAGATTAAAAGCTGTTGTAAATTCATATTGTGAATAATTGTGAATAATTAATGAGCGTAAAGATTACGACAGCAGTGAGGTGTTTGTTACGAATGAACTAGTGTTCCATGATGACGCCGCCTACCACCCGTTACTAGGCTGAATTATAAAAGTTATTCGTGAAAACTATGTACTGTCTCTTACCAAGTGGGCTACCCGATTCCGGTGGTTCGGTTCTGTAATTACCAAAGTCAATGTTCTTAAAATAACCGATTCGGTCTAACCTTATATATATATATATATATATATATATATATATATATATATATATATATATTAGATAGGTAGATAGATAGATAGATAGATAGATAGATAGATAGATAGATAGATAGATAGATAGATAGATAGATAGATAGATAGATAGATAGATAGATAGATAGATAGATAGATAGATAGATAGATAGATAGATAGATAGATAGATAGATAGATAGATAGATAGATAGATAGATAGATAGATAGATAGATAGATAGATAGATAGATAGATAGATAGATAGATAGATAGATAGATAGATAGATAGATAGATAGATAGATAGATAGATAGATAGATAGATAGATAGATAGATAGATAGATAGATAGATAGATAGATAGATAGATAGATAGATAGATAGATAGATAGATAGATAGATAGATAGATAGATAGATAGATAGATAGATAGATAGATAGATAGATAGATAGATAGATAGATAGATAGATAGATAGATAGATAGATAGATAGATAGATAGATAGATAGATAGATAGATAGATAGATAGATAGATAGATAGATAGATAGATAGATAGATAGATAGATAGATAGATAGATAGATAGATAGATAGATAGATAGATAGATAGATAGATAGATAGATAGATAGATAGATAGATAGATAGATAGATAGATAGATAGATAGATAGATAGATAGATAGATAGATAGATAGATAGATAGATAGATAGATAGATAGATAGATAGATAGATAGATAGATAGATAGATAGATAGATAGATAGATAGATAGATAGATAGATAGATAGATAGATAGATAGATAGATAGATATAGGTGTAAAACCTGGGCACTGTGGTATTAAATAATTCCATATTAGATTTGTTTATTTAATTTACAGTATTATTTACTGGATGACGTTCTGAGCATAAATTGTTTATTACTGCTCATAATCATACCAATATGTAATCACACTACTTTCGACAATTGATTTCTAATAGTTATGTAACCTCATGTGAGCTGCTTTTATTGATAATAAAATTTTCCATATCTCTGGTATAGGTATTGCGTTACTTCCATTACACGTATTGGCTGGGGGGTTGATTCGTTGACCAAAGATTCAGTAATCAATCTCTCTCTCCACCTAATTGTATTGAATTTAAGTACAGTGACTTTATCCCACCCTATTGTGTGGCTGTGTTAATGCATGCAATTCAATAGCTGAGTTTTTTGCAGATTACTGACCTTATTCGGGTCTGTCATTCTATACTCAGCTAAATTCGTACGTTCCACTTTTCTAACTAACCCCAACCAGCTTGTTTGACCTATGTGCTAGACCTCACACTCATTACATGGAATTTGATAGATCAGATTATCTTGATTGATTGGTTCTATCGGATCCTTAAGCCAATCGACAAAGCTCATCTTTGAGTGAGTTTGTAGGTTTAAATGCCACCCTAATTCCAGCTTTATTGAGGATCATATATAAAGTTTCTGATGTGGCTTCCTTGTAGGGTAACACAATGGACGCTGTGAATTCCTTTCTACTTGTGTTGTCGTTATTGTTCGTACGAATTTCTTGATAAACTGCAAAGGATGATTATTAACTATTAGCGCTTCTTTATGTGTTTCAATTCCTTGTTTAGGTCCTTGCACTGACTAGTCAGTTTTTTAACTGTATGATTTAGACATTTGAGAAAACCTGCCTTAACTGACGTTGGATGGGATGACTTGAAGTCTAGATACCTGTTGGAATGTGTCAGTTTTCTCCAGACGGTAGTATCCAAACCACCGTCTGTCGTTCGTTTTCATCTGCAATCCAATATGTGTAATTCTCCTTGTTCATTTTCTACCTCGTAAGTGAATTGGATTGCGTCTGTATGAGGAAATTGTGGGTATGTTCCGATTTGAACACAGTGTGTCATCCACATATCACCATCATATTTTTGGTGCAGGATTAAACGTTTGTAAAGCCGAGTTTTCCCAAGTATCCATAAATATATCTGTTACGATCGGGGATATTGGTGATCCCATTGCTACTCCCTCTGTTTGTCTGTATATTTTGTCCTGTGGAAGTCAGGCACAACTGTATGCCTAATGTGCTCTCATCAACCGATGTCTTAGTCCTCTGATTAAGTTTGAACACTGTACTCACGAGAAGTTACACCACTTTCTCTTTCCACAACCTCAGGAATAGATTGGCTTCCACTTAGTAGGCTTCCAAGGAGTATTGACAGCTCTCATGGTTCCATTGGTACGTAAAGCCATTCTAAATGTAATTTACTCACATTACCTTTCACTTAACAACTTCCTATCATTCCCAACACTGTACTCACTACTGTTTCCTTAAGTTTTTACTCTGTAATCATCTCTGACGACGCAAAATGCTGTTTCTAGTCTCCTAGAACTGGATGATTGAGTTTTATGTTGGAGCTGTCAAAGTGCTAAGTGTATTCAGACTCGGATAGTAAGACTCTGGTATCTCAGTTTATCAATTTTATGCATCCCTGAAATATGCATTAAACATCTGAGTAAAGTTATTCTTTTGAATTAGCATAACCAATGAAGTGAATCTGCAAATAACACCTTACATTTATCTAGCCATATTGCATTAGGTTTTAGAATACAAAGCTTCATTTTTGACTGGGCACCAGTTTATAGCCATCTACACACTGTCCAATTGAATTAATCTGTTTAAACTAAGAATGATTGTGACACTTATCGATGCTTCTTTGTAGTCTCCACCCAAGTGCCTATTGGTGAAAACTTGAAATCAACCAAAGATTGATTTTGCCAAATGATATCAGATGTTATCATACTAGCGAATGAATTTGACTCTGAAGTTAGGGAATTTTAGTCGATCAGAAAGACAACTTGGAGGTAACTATGATTTGTTATGTCAGCCAGGGAACCAACAACAGTGATTTTCTCTTGAAAGTTAGTTCTGACAGTCACTGTTTTCTGGCCATCACTAACTTCGAACATAAGAAGAGATACTGTCTGATTTAGCGTCCACTGACATTAAACCAACGATGGAGACGGATAAATCATATTGTTATCACCCATCGTTAGAGGGGATCAGTAGAAGGTTGTGAATCTTTCCGAAGTACATGCTTGAACTCGGATCATGTATTGGTATGGGTACGTTTATACCTTCGCCGTAATTAAGTCAAGAAACAGGTAACAGTGAAGTCTTTGTGTGATCGATCTGAAGATGAGAATATCAAGTGTGCATTTAGAGATGAGATATCTAGGCATTTATCTGAACGTGACAGCAATTATCATTCTGAGGAAGACTGGTATGATATTCAATCTGTTGTAGAAGCAGCAGTCAGGACACTGTAATTTACGTTGAAAAGTCAGCTAACACTAGTGGATTTCCGCAACCTTATAAGAATTGATTGATACGAGAAGACCGAACCAAACCGACTCAGATTCACAATAAAATACTCAGCAGTTGTCTAGTAGTAAATAACTGAAGCTCAACTTCTTGTCAGCTGACATGATGGTAACCAATAGCACGTACCAAAGATTTCCAATGTTCGAATTCTTACCTAACTTTCTTGTAGATATGTTGATAGACGATACCATAAGTAAGTCTTTATCAGTTATAGCTTACGCTGTATAAACAATGTTAGATTTAAGCGTAGAATACTAGGTAAGGAAGGCAACTTAGTTGATGAGGCTGTAAATATCCAACGAATGAAGTGGTCTAGACATGTGTCACGCATGCCAAACCGTCACACGCTTCGACTTACAATGCTAACCAAAATAGATTTAGGTTGTAAGAAAGCTACAGATTGGCAGATATAGCACCAACCTATATATCTCTGACTGTTTATGTGAGTCGTCCAGAGAGAGATATATAGTGGATTACTGTGTTTGGAATTCATCGAGTTGGAAGGAGTTGTTGGATGGAAATCCCTAGTGATGCGGTTCAAAACCGGTTGAAATGAAGAATATTTACGCCCTCTTTATCATCTTCAAAGGTTTAAGCATTTCTTCCAATCTTGGTATATTTCAAGTTGTTATTCATCGAAGACTGACATCAGTTGGAGGAACAAAGGAAACCTGGGAGCACTGGACAGCTGTTTCGTCCTAGTATGGGACTCCTCAGCAGTGCGCACCCACGACCCCACCAGCAGGGATCGAACCCGCGACCTTCAGGTTCCGCGACCAGCGCGTTACCATTGAGCCACTGGGTCACAATCCAATGCTCCATATTTCCAACTTCTGTTAGCTCACGATGAATAACAACTTGAAATATTTCCAAATCTCCACAACCCCCTCAAAACTTGGTATATTTACTTCTTCGTATGTTTCTGCAGTTTAGCAAATTTGAACTGTTACACTTCTGTGTAACGCCTGTCTTGAAAAAAGAATATAAATTTGTTGAATGTTTTAAATACTATATAAGTATTTCTGTATGTATTAATGTCTTCTCATGATAGTATAATACTTTGCTTATTGAAAATGTTTTTTTATGGTATACATTCTACGCTGTGCAGTCAAAACGTGGTATTATCGAAACAAGAGCTGATGAATACGTTGAACCAGAAGAAGCTTGGCTACAACAGTAAGTTTTATTGATGATTTCTTCTTATCTATCTATTTTTGTAAATGTTATCATTTTTCCACATCGTAACAATCTAGACTGTAAAATATCTTCCATATGGTTGATGATTTATTGACTAAGACGAAAAACCCAACATTTCAATATAGTATGTGCACTATATTTCATTGTAAGAATGAGAATTAGTGTATTGAAATAGGCTAGAAGAAGAATTTGAAAAGATTGAAGCAAGTATGCGCACCAAGATATGTTCTTAATTCAGAATGAGATGAATAATGAATCTATCAGTGGCTACAATGCTTATTGCTAACAATATAGGACGACTCTTCCATATGCTCAATCCTCTCGTCTATGACTACTGACATTAGATTACAATAACTGTATTTGAATATATTTAGATTTTTCCCTCATCATGTAGAATACAGCATAGCTGGATAAAGGCAATCGATAGTTGAAAAGCCATCGAGGTCATACTCAAATCTTTGCATTCATTTCATTTTAATAACGCTAACAAATTCACCCCTAGCCAATTTTACTTTAATTTTCAACTCACTTCCGAGCTCCAGACCGGATATTATCTCTTTGAGCGTTATCGTCTCTTAACCAGAGTACTGGTCCCCTCACCGAGCAGGAAACACCTTTTAACAACACAATCACATGAAAACCAAGATTCCTGCCAGAGCAGTCTGTTAACGCTCGCTCAAAACTGATCAATGAATCTCTCCCTCACAAATATCAAGTTTCTTCGTGTCCACATTTGACGAATAATTGGCTGGTTGACCATACTTACCTCCCCGTGGACGTGGGCAGACGTGCAGGGAATACGTCTCACTGATTATCCATAGTCCTGTAGGAAGCGATGCAGCATACCTCTCCGGAAAAAAAGGCTCCTCCCAGGTGTTGGTTAAAGCAAACTACACCTGGGATTCTGGACTGAATACTGCCCCACCTTCGCAAAGGAAAACCACAACACCTCTTCTGGGACAGCTTCAACAACAGTGACTACCATGGTCAGGAGGCTGGATTCCCTAACCGTTTATTGGCGCGATGTTCTCAGCTCACTGTGAGGAATCGCGTCCGTGATTAGACTAGATTGACATTCGATTACAGTAACTGGATTCGACCACTTTTAGATTTGTCTCTCATCACCATCATCATTTAGAATACAGCAGAGCTCGATAAAACCGATCGACGGTTCAGAATGTATCGAGCTCATACTCAAGTTTTTGGATTAATTTTATGTTTTAATAACCCTAACTGGTTCACCTGTATATCTTACATCAATATTGTTATCATAGTAGTTTGCCAAACTCAAACAGTGTCTTACAAAATAAATTTAGTCGAATACATGTACCCGTCATGTGTAGACGATTTTTAGGTGTCATTACTCTCAGACAACTGGTTAGGTAAATTATATTCAAGTTCTTCATCTATGTACAAATATTTATGTTAGGGGATTAATAGTTGCATTGAGGATGTATTACTTTGACTATCGAATCACAAGTGAAATAATGTGGTAATAATAATATTCTGAGAAACAGCAGCATTCTGGTATGCATATATATATATATATATATATATATATATATATATATATATATATATATTCTTCCCAGTTGTTTTTTTAGAAATGATGAAATTTAGTGATTATTCTCAGTCATCCAATAACAACATCAAAATATTTTCTCTTATTGATGAACTAATTTAACGATTTGTTTTCTACATTTCGATTGGTCAGCCTTAAGACAACGCCCAAAATATTCCATAATATATATAATGGAGATTTTAAAGTACTCATGATGAACTGACATCAGTTGAAGAACCATTGGAAACCAGGGAGCACCGGACAGGTGGTTTGTCTTAGTATGGGACTCCTCAGCATTGCTCAACAACTAATCAGCGTATATCGAACTCAGGACCTTCAGGTTTCACGGCGAACACGTTCACTATTCAGCCACTGAGTTGGAGTAAACTCAGTTTACAGTTTTCGATGACGTGTCATGCTAGGGAGGAGTTAGATAAGGTTGGAATAGGGTCTATGGTGGCCAGACTAAAACGTGGCACCAGTCGATGAAGTCTCTAACTTTTGGTTTGAGACGTGTGGGGACATTGTAAACTGCCCGACTGGGGCCCCCAAGACAACTGCCATCAGTGGTTGATGACTTCTGCTGACACTGCTGAAAATTGATCACAACGGCACAGGTGTATTCACTCCTTGACATCTAAAGCTTGAATATTTGCGCTGACCATTATCTTTAAATTGTTTATTCTCACACTCTACTTTTTCTGCTTCGATATCATTCCTTTTCTGTCCACATGTTCTTTGTATACTTCTGTGAAGTGTAGGAACCTGAACCAATCCACTTACTTCCGAGATTCTACGTTGATTTTGTCAGATAGTCTTCAACTTCTCTCGATTCGCGACAAAGCGCCACTATCACCCCCAGGGCTTCCATTGGTATCCGCTTCACTTCCAAGTGGTTGACTGCACAGGTCACGGCTTCTCATTAGAACTTTGACGTATCCATCTCGAAGCACGTCACTAATATGTACTTCGAAGTTTCAGTCGGAAGTTAAGCGGATTCCAGCTGAAGACCTTGGGCGATAGTCACACTATATCACTATATCCTGAGTTTGATCCCTAGCGAGGTCATGAGTATGCACTGCCGAGGAGTAGTCCCATACTAGGACGGGACGGTTGTTCACTCCTCCCAGGTTTTCAATGGTTCTTCAACGGATGTCAGTCTGTGGTGAGTGCTACCATATATATGCCCTGCCAAAATTGTTCCAGTATATCACCTAACACCAGTTTATCACTACTTTAAATAGCTATATATAACGCATATTCTCCATAAATTTGCGCAATGGATGTAATCTCCTTTTCAACACAGAAAATTGTGAATCACATCATTTCCCTTTAGAATTTTAGGGAGATTAACAGTCCAGTTTAATGCAACAGAAGAGAAGGATTAAAACCATTTTTTGGTGCAGTTTAATTAAAAGTAACTTGTCAGAGCACAACTATTCCCAACAAAGGTCTGTGAAATTTTCTCGGCAGACACGTTTAACAGGAAATAACACAATTTAATATCATTTTTCCGTGAACAAGCAACTGGTTATGGTTTTGGAACCAGCAAATGTTTACAAAATTTACATTAGAATGTGACAATGAAACAACTAACTGTTAGTGAGAACATCACTACATAGGACAGAGTAGTTAGTCACCTTCTTCGTATCCGTCTACATGAGCATCGTCAACAAGCAGTTAAGCGTCAAATGACATATCTTCGCCCATATCAATGCATACGGACAACTGTGGGTATGAATTTGACTGAGAAAATGTGGAAATCCTGAACAGAGAAAATACAAAGAATGTTAGAGAACTTTTAGAAGTTTGGTATTCGCATCAGTCACCAACCAACAGACGTGTTGACTTTCATCCAACCTATCAACTAGTCAAAAACAACAAGAAGGTCAAAGTTCACGTCAGAAGGACAAGCAGTCAAAATGCATTAAGTGACAATGACAAGACTTTAGCAGAAGCAACCGATTACGTAATAGGCCATCAGGACAAGCTATTAAGCCACTTGTGGAGTAAACACTACAGCTTACTTTTTTCTGAAGTTTGCACTGATGATGTTGTCTAGAATGACAGTAAAAGCTTCCAGCCCATAGAATTCTCGTAACGTAGATAGTTTTATCAGAAATATGAGTATAGAAATGCAAATTCGCTACTATTACTACTAACTAGAATTCCTTCATCAATCAATTTTCCTTATTAACTGGGATTGGGATGATCAAAAGACCTGACAATCCTATCATCACTCGCTTGGTGACAAGTAGACTGTACAGCACAGATGGAGGCAACCGGGATGAAATTTCGCAACTGAGTTATTCTTCGTTGTGTAATTGTCATCTTGGACTTTGAGTCTGGCGAACACTTACCACTAGTCTGCACTATCGGCTTATTAGAATTTGAGTAGCGCCAGTCCATAACTGTTGATATGAGGTGTGTGGGAAGATGCAGACACTGCCTGGTTGGGGTCCCCGAGACAACAGTGATCAGTGGTTGATGAATCTTTGTGACATGGCTGCAAATCGATCCTAGTGGCACAGATGTATTCACTCCTGGACATCTTCTAAAGCTTAAATATTTGCACTGACCGTTGTCTTCAAATTGTTTATTCTCTCACACAACCTTGTCTACTTTGATATCAGTCTTTTCCTATCCACTTGTTCTTTGTATACTACTTTGAAGCGTGGCAACTTGAACCGATGTACCTATGTCTACGAGGTTGTACATTGGGTCTGTATAAAACACCTGAATCTTGTTAATGAGCCATACTAAGTGATGTAAATGTTTGCTGGATACTCATGTCAGTTACTAGCATATAGCTTATAGTAACTTCTAATTATTGTATTCACTCCAATCCCATCCTTCATTACTTTATGCTAATAGACTTCATATCAATGAGTAAATCTTCTAGTTAGTCATGTTTTTCGTATATTCTTCTTCTTATAGAGCGATTGCAGCTAGTTTAAATCTTGAAGGGGCTGAAATTCCTGTCACACACGCAGATGCAGCATATATGAAGGCGTTAGAAGAGTCTCGTATTGAACAGGAACTTGAAGAAAAACGTCGTCGTGCTGAAGATGAAGAATTAGCACGTATACTTGAATTGTCAACTAAAGAAAAATAACTGATTAAATCCTATTTCAAAACTTGAGCACTATTTTCTCCCCCCGCCCTCCCCCCCTTCACCTACTTATATCTTCTCTAGACTAATAGTAATAATAATAGTGGTATAGCTTAATCGTGTCACCTATTGACTTGATATAATAATGCATCCCGTGTGAAAGGTAGACAACAAAAAGGCTATTGCATGCTCTTATTTCAAGCTTATCCAACTTCCTAATCCTTAATTATTATAGCAAAAAAAGGAAAGAAAGATTGCCGATATTGTTTTAATCTATCTAAATGTTTACGGGGTTGTTACATTAATGTTTTTCTGCTTTGCATGTTAGTTTTCAAATGAATTTCAAGCTGCGTATGTAATATATGCAAATTACTGTAAGTATATGTGTACGCGCACGCGTTTCTGCTTTAAAAAAAATGCCTAACAACGATAATAAGGATAATAACAGTATTGCTTCTAGTTTCGCTTAGTCTTCTTTGTATCTTTACTTGAACGCATAAATATGCATTTTGTTGTCGTTGTTAAGGCTGTTAAATAATAAATACACTGCATGCTTTAAAACTTGTCTATTCATTGTCCAATGAACTTCAATTTTCTTCGTTCATTATTTCTTTTCCCTTACATTGTTTTTTTTATTATATATCGCTTGTATTATTCTCAGTTAATGATGTATTCTACTATCTTTCTCTTTCTTTTGAAGTCATTTTCCCTGTGCCCTCCCCCTACCCCTCTATCTTATCATCAATATGATCAATTGTTGTTTACTAAATTACATGATATCACTTTGTTTGTTGGCTTTTTTTTCAACATTAGAAAACTTTTTCATTTGTGTTTAATTGTTACATTTGATTTGATTTGTTTATTTACCGTTATTGATGATGATAATTCTAGTCAAGGCGTGCATATCGTCTTGTCATGTTGCTTCTTATCGAATACGATTAGTTATTTAATTCTTTCTGTATGCTTCGATCTCTACTATAGTTCATTTGTGATCTACTTTCATTCTTTGTATCTTCATATAAATTTCATGATTTTATCAATATTAATTCAGGTAAAATTGTATGTGTTCTTTTATGTTATTCACTATTCTCCTTTGTATAATGAATGTCATAAATTGCGCGATTATTACTTCAAATTTTTATAGGTGAAATAATTCAACTATAAAGAAAAAAAGTTCTTGAAGTTGATCTTCGGCTTTAGAAAAGTCTTGAGTAACCATTCTCTCTGCGAATTCCTTCTTAGACAAACTCCATCTATGCATCAGCGCTTACTTTATCTCTTCTCTCCTCGGGAAGACTCGAGCTTCTGACTTTCTTTGAAGGAAATTTCATACTTATTAGATAGGGTTCTAATCATTATATTGAGAGGACTAATCTTTCCTAGGTATACTTCGTTTAGTAAACCATACTCTTTCACCTCGACAACGTTACCTTGCTTAGTTATAATGAAATTAATTCAATTAGGGGGCTTGTGGTGATTTATTGATTTCAAGTTGGTATTCATCATGGACTGACATCGGATGGAGGAACACTGGAAACCTGAGAGCACTGGACAGCTGTTTCGTCGTAGTATGGGACTCCTCACAAACCCCAAAATTGAATTAATCTGGTGCTCTCATCGGTGGCCAGCTTTGAGAGATGATTCCTAAAGTCCGAATAAGAAGTCGTGACCGGTGGGGTAAACCTAGTGAACTTGAGGACAAATATTCAACGATGACATTCGGTGACGGTCGCCGTATATCGCGAACTGATAGAGGTAGGAAATGTAGAGCATTGGATTCCGACCTAGTGACTTAGTGGTAACGTGTTGGCCCTGGGTCCTGAAGGTTCTGCGTTTGATTCCTGGCTGGGCAGGGTCGCGGATGTGCACTGCTGAGGAGTCCCACACTAGGACGAAACAGCTGCCCAAGCTTACAATAGCCCATGGTACAAAAAATCACAACATTTTCGTTTGAGGGACGTCGCGATTAATCCTAATATTAAAGAACTTCAATAACCTAAGATTTTCATCCATAAAGCAACTTGCAAATTTATCGCGGCAAGTTACCAGGCTCGAAATTGATGCACTTTGGAAATCCTTGTTCAATTTTTCTCTAATATGAACGGATAGACGCATTATCCTGAGTATAAAATCTTTGTTGCTACTGCTAAAGAATATCTTTTTTTTCAGACTTTCCTCACCTAATTCAGTCTAATCAAAGTATTTCTGAAATAGATTAGTCTCCTTAAAATCCGGATATGAACCCTGTCTATTATAAAGTATATGCTTTGTGTAAAGGAAAGTTAAATTCTCAAGGTTTTCAGAGTACTGAAGATCCTCAGTAGACGCTGATGCATGGGTTCTTGAAACTGTACACGAAGACAAACTGCAATCAAAGTAGTTCTGAAAAATACACGAGGCTGTACAAACCATATTTTGGGTCGTTTTTTTTTGTTAAATATCTGAACAAGTGCTTACCAGACTCTTAACACTGTATGATTTCCACAGTTCAGTTTATATCTTGATTAACTAGATAATAATAATAATTTGTACAATACGAGAACAAAGATATTTGCAGAATAAAATGAGCTCATTTTATCTCACAGCTCTCCATCAGCCTTAAACAGCCTACAATTGGAATAAAGTATTAGTAGTAATATTGGCATTGAATACGTAGAAATAAATGAAGATTTAAAATCCAGAATTAACATTAAGGTAGTGAGTTAAGGAAACACAGGATTAATAACCACAAACCTTAGTTAAAACCAATGACACTATATGTGATGAGATAGATAATCCTGAAACTTTAGAAAGCAGGGGATAACAAACAGGCAGGATTGTAAAAGAAGTGATTGTGAAAGAGTTAGTAACTTACGTGGTTACATTAAAAAACTGTAGCCCGTGATTAACAGTAAGTAAACAATTAAAGAGATGATGCAATCAAAAAACAGAGAAACTATACGCATACACAACCTCGCCTAGTACACTAGCTACTAGCCAGTCCTAAGCCTGGATAAAGAGGGAAGGTTGGGTATATGGCTAGCAACGCTACCCCGGAAAACCAGTCCAATCGCTAAAGAGACTTCAAAGCACGAAGAAAATATAAATAAAAACAAACTTATTCCTCTCTGGAATCGGAGAGACGAAATGACGCCGGTTGGTGAAAGCCTACGGGAAGCCAATTGACCGATGTTTCTTCTCTTCTTTCGATGAAAGTGAAAGTAAACATGGGGAGATGGAATGTCCGCACCTTGTTTGAACCTACCAAGGCTGTCCAGATTGCGAAAGAGATATGGCATGGAAGTGCTTGGAATCTGCAGATGGAATGGAAGTCGACTCTCCAAACTTTCAACTGGAGAGTCAATAATCTACTCCGATATTGTCACACAGACGACAACCATGAGCACACTGAGGGAGTAGCTATTATGATGTCCCCAAGAGCATCAGAGGCTCTCATGCAATGGGATCCAATCTCCTCCAGGATCATGACGACAAGATTCAACTCAAAAGGAAGGGAAGTCACAATCATACAATGCTACGCCAAGCACCTGCAAATAATGCAGATCAAGAGAAGGAGGAATTCTATCAACAACTGCAGGCAGTACTGGACAAGACCTCAGTTGGCGATATCAAAATTCTAATGGACGACATGAATGCCAGACTGGGAGCAGACAAGATCGAGAGGCAGTCGGTGAAATGAATGAGAATAGAGAACTGTTTGCGGACTTCTGTGCCTTTAATGATTTGTTAATTGGAGTGCTGTGTTCAAGCACAAGGATATCCACAAAGCGACACGGACTTCACCAGATGGACACACTAAATATCAGATCGACTTCATTTCAATCTGAAGAAAGTGGAGACACACCTTACTGGACACAAGATCAAGAAGGGGAGCAGGTGTAGGTTCACACCACTCACCATCTAGTGCAAGGAACCTTCAAAATCAAGTTGGAAGCCTTCAAGGAAGTTGGTGACAGACCACAGTTCAAGTTCAACACCCAGAAACTGAAGGACAAAACTTCAAAGGACATCTTCACGTCAGCTATCAGGAAAAAATGGGAGATATTGAGCAACATCCCTGAGGAAACCTGCTTGGAAGAACACTGGAAATCTTTGGAAGAGATGTGGAAAGAAGCCTGCATAACCGCATTAGGAAGGAAGAAGAAGCAAGACAAGGAATGGATTTCGACGGACATATGGAAACTGATAGAAGAGAGGAAGATAGTGAAGCAGAAGACGAACCGGTGCAGTGGGGGGATGAACAACGAAAACGGAAACTGAACACAACCTATAAAACACTACAATGGACAAGGAAGTGAAGAAGGGTGCGCACAAGGACTAAAGACACTTCTATGACATATTGGCAAGTGAAGCAGAACAGGCTGCAGGTAGGAGAGACGTGACAATATTATATAAAATAACTAGGTTACTATGGATCTGGGAAGAGATCAACTCAGATGAAACCAATGAATGATAGGGAAGGAAACTTAGTTACCAAAGAGGAGAGACGATGGGCTGACCACTTCAGAAAACTCTTGAATAGACCTCCACCTGTAACTCGTCCAGAAATACCACCAACAACCTAGCCACAGAACTATCCCTGAACACAAGTCCTTCGACAAAAACAGAAGTCCTAAATGCCATAAAACTGCTTAAATCCGGGAAAGCAGCAGGACCAGATGAAGTTCCTCAAAAAGCACTGGAAACAACAGCGGACATGCTCACACCACTACTGTAGAAGGTTTGGAAGGAAGGAAAGAAAGGTACCTGTTGATTGGTTGGAAGAAGCGCTACCTTATCAAACTCTCAAAGGGTGAAGTGAGTCTTTGCAAGAACTGGCGCGGAATCATCCTTGTGTCCACCCCAAGCAAAATATTAAGCTGCATCTTCCTGAAAAGACTGAAAAATGCTCTGGATTCAAAATTACGACCGGAACAGGCTGGCTGGCTTCAGGAAAAACAAATTACGTACGGGTCGAATTGCAACGCTACTCATCATCATAAAACAAAGTATAGAATGGCAGTCAACTCCTTACCTCAACTTCATCGATTTTGAAAAGGCCTTCGATAGCGTCGACCGAGAAGTAATTTAGCAGTTGCTTCAACACTACGTAGTACCACAAACCTTTTTAACCTCTTTTCCACAGCCATATGACAACGCTACACGCCAAGTGATTCACAGTGGAAAGCTCAGTGATGCCTTTGAAGTGAATACAGGAAGGGGTAAGATAAGGTTGCTGCCTATTATCACCGATCATCTTCCTGATTGTGGTCAACTGGACAGGAGTTGATCATGCAAGAAACTGTGAGGAGCGAGAAGAGGGGTATACGCTGTTTCATCGATGAAAAGACCCTAGAAAATTTGGATTTCGCCGATGATTTATGTCTAATGTCGCACAAACTCGAAGATCTACAGGCGAAAACTAACAAATTGGCAGAACAGGCGAGGCAAGGCAGCGAAGGAAGACCGGACTTCTTTCAGGTGAACGTAGAGAAGACAGAGCGGATGAAAATACCGAACCAACAAGCACCAATCACCATGAACGGGAGGAATCTAAAGCAAGTTGTCTCTTTCACCTACCTAGGCAGCGTCGTTTCAACTACAGGCGGCACATGCACAGATGAGGACGTCAAAGTCGGGATCGGAAGGATAGCAATATAGTCGTTTATTAACCTGAAATCAGTGTGGACATCTGCACTCAGCATAAAGCTAGACAACATCTGGATTTTCAACACTAATTCAGTCAAGTCAGTGCTTCTATGTGATGGTTGATAGGCCTGGCACGTTACGGAAAATATTTCCAACAAACCACAGACATTCATCAACAGCTGCCTACGCTCGACACTGAAGATCAGATCAGATGGCGAGAAAGTATAAGCAACAAGGAACTCACTGTCTTGCAACGAACCAACGAGGCAAGAACCTATCGCCCAACAAATATGCAGATGAAAGTGGAGACGGATTGGATTGTACATACCCTGAGAAGACCATTCAGGGACATCAAGTGCCAGGGACTAGAATGGAACCCGCATGGGAAACGACGAGTTGGGCATCCGAGGATGACATGGTGGAGATCGTGTGAAGAAGAAATGAAAGCTTCCGGGCAGTCGTGGAGCCAGTTCCAAAAGACTGCAGAGAACACAGGGAAATGGCGACGTGCTACTGAAGCCCTATGCTCCGCTAGGAACCCAAGGGACAAATTATAATAATAATACGCGTACACACGCAAAAAATCGTATACAGTTACCAAGGTAAAGAAAGGTTAATTACGGTCTCTGTTTGAGTACATAGGTCAGAATGGAAATGGTTGATGATGAGAGCTTCCGCAAATCGTAATAAACATGGCGCTCTTTGTTTTTTGATTACCCTGAAGGATTGAGAAACATCTGTTGATGTCCTGTTCCCATCAGGTGCCTGGCGATTGCGTTTTTAATTACCTTACCACCATTCAGACAGATTTCTCGGAATATGCTCATAAAACCGAGTAGACGCCCTTCTTTTGGTCCTTCTTATGTGCCAGCTTTCACAAAGCACATGCGAAATGATACACACGGTTAGAGGGGAAGTGAGCTAGGCTTTTGTCTAATTTTGACTGTGTTATTAAGCATACTGTAATGTGAATTGAGATCAGTCTGGCTACAAAGAAGCTCTTTCTCAGTGCAGCTTTTGTTTTTTTCTGTCTATTCTTTTAGATGTCTCATCACCTATGAATGCTAGACGAAGGAAAATAGGCTTCTTCACAATAGTTAGGTGTTTAAGTCTCTCAGTAAATTATTTTCAATGCTTCATGATAAATTTCTTCGGACATCCATTCTTCATAAGGGCCTTCTGAATTATGCTGAATTCTTCTTATTGTTTATTTTTTGAGCACAGCGTTTTTATTCTAGTGAAGAGCATCCTGACTAAATCACCCTTATAGCTGATGATTCAAGTTATCATACTTGGAAATATTACGATTCGGTAAGGTGAGTGAGAAATCGCAAAGACTAATGGATTGCGAGGTTTTTTATTTCCGTTAATATTTAAAACAAATAAAATTAGTTTTAATAGGAATGCAAAAGTACTACATAAAATATTTGCAGAAACGTATAAATGAAGACGGATGAAATCAAAGCAGAACTTCGCACATAAGTGCATCAAAGTAGGGATGAGAGGGGTGGCTCGGTGGTGTAGTGGATAACGTTCTGGCGTTTGAACCGGTCGCTCCCGAGTCCGAATCCCGGTGGGGGACAACATCACTCACTTAGAAGCGAGTACATCCAGCTGACGAGTCCCAAATAGGACGAAATGCGCATCATGGATTCCACTGCTAGCCATGATCCATCATCAACATAATTAGAACGCTGGTAATATCGAGGCATCCGCATAGGAGCCCATATGCCAATAGAGACCGATCAATTCGATCCAATCAACGACGGTATCATATAAAAATAATTATACTAAAAAGAGCCATTGATTGATGTAGATGATTATATATTATTATTTTGTCCCCTTGGGTTCCTAGTGGGACAGAGCTTCAGTAGCACGTCTCCAGTGCGCTCTGTTCTCTGAAATCTTTTGAACCTGGCTCCACGACAGCCCACAAGCTCTCATTTCCTCCTCGCACGATCTCCTCCATATCACCCTCACCTCAGACGCCCAACTCGTCGCTTCCCATCTGGGTTCCACTCGAGTGCCTGGCCTGACGAGTGATGTCCCCAGGTGGCCTTCTCAGTGTATGCCCAATCCATCTCCACTTCCTTCTGCATATTTCCTGAGCGATAGGTTCTTGGTTGGTTCGTTCCCAGAGTTCCCTGTTGCTTATTCTTTCTGGCCATCTGATCTTCAGTAACCAGCCAGCGTAGACAGTTGGTGATGAATGTCTGTAGTTTATTGGAAATGCCTTTCGTAATGCGTCAACTCTCTGAACCATACAGAAGCACTGACTTGACATTGGTGTTGAAAATCCGGATCTTGTTCCACATGCTGAGTGCAGTGCAGAAGATCTCCACACTGGTTTCAGGTTAATGAACACCTGTATTGCTTTTCCGATTCTGACTTTGACATCCTCGTCTGTCCCGCCTGTAGTTGGAACAGTGCTGCCTAGGTAAGTGAAGGAGGCTACTGCCTTTAAGTTTCTCCCGTTCATGGTGATTGGAGTTTGTTGTTGTTGGCTGGGTATTTTCGTCACCTCTGTCTTCTCTATATTCACTTGAAGTCCCGTCTTCGCTGCCTCTTCTGCCAACTTGTTAGTTTTCAGTTTGTGCAACATCAGACACAAGTCATCGGCGAAATCCAAGTCTTCTAGGTTCTTTTCCCCGGTGCAGCCATTGTATCCCCCTCTTCTCGCTCCTCACAGTTTGTTGCATGATCCAGTCCACGACAATCAGGAATATCATGGCTGATAGTAGGCAGCCTTGTTTTACTCCTGTCTTCACTTCACTGCAAAGGCATCACTGAGCTTCCCATTGTGATGATTATATAAGGTGAGATTTATAAATAATTTAGATCTCCTCAGCTTACAAATCGCAAGATAAGACTTATAAAAGTTGAACTACTGAATAGAAAATTAATTTATGCTTCATTTCATTTTAAAAATTTGTAAGCAGTGAACAGAACAATTGATGCAGGATAATATGAGTTTATTTATTACAACGATTCTTATCAACTGCTTACATCCACAACACATACTGACAAATGTGTACTGATTCAAATGATAGATTGTATAAATGTGAAGACGTTAAAACTATTTGGATTAGGTAAAGCTTCTGGGATAGTTTATAAGGTTAATTATCTGCAGAATGATTGAATGACTATGCTAGTGACCGGACTTGTGATAATAAGTGACAGATATATACTAGCCTAGAAAGAAGTAGGGTAAGCAGAATTCAGATAATAAGAGTGGGCTATGAAATAGGTTTAGAGGTAAAAGTGAGAAAAAAAAGAGATAAAAATGATAAATTTATGTAATCGGAATTGTAGATTAATTTAAGAAATCAAATTTACAAAGACTAGGAAATATCAGTCATTATATCTTTTGAAATGCAAAGTTCGTGTTTGCGTTGCTTGATTGCGATAGCTCCGATGAAACACGGGGTTTCAGTGGAAGTGCATGTTTATTTTCCACGAATGAAACCGGTTACTTAGATAAAATGAAAAAAAAAACGGAATCAAAAGCTAGTGGCAATCTGATTGATAAAAAGCAAGTCCGAAAAAAAATGCCATCTCTCAAAGTGCGCATGTGACATTCAGAACATATGGTGTGCCAAAGGTATATAGTGCATTTTCTCGGCACCATATACTGATAGGTTTAAAATAAATAAATAAGCATTTAAAATATGTAAATATAAGCTAAGTAACCTTTTACGGTGTTAGCTGGTGTCCTTAGTTTCGTAATTTCTGTGTTAACGTACAGGCATCCATCAGTCTATAGTCACCAATTAACGTCTTCTTTATGCTGATCAGCAGCTCAACATTCAGTTCGCACTTCAGCGCCATCCACGGAAATGAGTTTTAACGTTCCCCCCTACAATAAGATTCTCACCTAAGACCTAAGAGCTCTTTTTACTATCTAACATGTTTTATTATTGGTTCTTTGATATCAGTACCTACTTGTAGATGTTATATTGACTAGTCTGGTACTGGTGAACATCAATTTACGAAAGACTAGTCAGGTGTTAGGCAATAATAAAACAACCAGCACTTTACAATTGGTAAGCTCCAATATCGCTTTATTTGTGAGTACCCAGTGTTGTTTTTGTCCCGTTTTCCTTTCTTTGAGCCTGTATAAATTATGACCTTATAGTTTTTGCAATACATGTCCCTACACTCTATACTTTCCGTTACTTCTGATCATAATGATCTGTGCATTAATGAATATCTAAAAAATGGCTGAAAATCAAGACTCTTCGGAGCAGATAGCCGTTATCATACAACTTTCTACTTTCTGGGCATGCAGAACATCAGCCTGATTCGTCCATCTCGAAGCTGAATTCGCTATTAGATGTATTACCTCACAAGAAATTAAGTCCAACTTAGTTATTATCAGTTTTCTGAAAAATACTGTGGGAAAGGTTTTAGATGCACTTGATGACTCTGCTCCAAACTTTTATGAGGGCCCTAAACAGGTCTTCATCAAACGTATTTCTCTAACTGACCAACAAAAGATGTAGGAACTATTTTGTAATGTTGACCTGGGCAATCCTTGGCCTACGCAAATGCTGCATTAGATGCGACAGTATCTTTCAGATTTCAAAATCGATTTCTTTTTCAAATAGCTGTGACTCCAACGTCTTCCACAGTTGGTTCAAGGCATCTTTACACCTTCCCATCAGTTTTTATTGGTGGAATTATCTGGGGCTATGGACAGAGCGGTAGAAGTAACGCAACTACAATCCAGACGGACAGCAGCCATTGGTACAATTGCTAGTACCAGCCTTGTTAGATGCATACCCGTCCGTCTGTAGTACCTCTACAAATTTCGACCCAGTTGCTCACATTAAACCTCATGAAGATCTGTGGTATCCGAAAAGGAATGAAGCAACATCGATCGTCATGCGATCGAGTTTCTCGGTCACGTTTGAGATCTGCTACGAACTATCGCCACTTTAGGTAGTAACCAAGAAACTTGCAAACTGGAGTTTGTTGGTACTAATTGAGCGTTGAAATCACCCGCTAATGTGACTACATTCTGAACATTTTGCTTAATCCAGCCAAGTTGACAGTTTTTGGAAGGAATAACCTTTTGCATCATTCAACCAGCAGTGGGTGAACGCGTGGGAAAAGATTACGATGATTCCCATAACTTCCCAGTTTTTACAGATCCATTCAGTCGGACAACGCACAAACGGCTATTGATTGGTAATTCAGTCGAGAAGTGCACTCCACCCAAGAACTTAATGCTATACGTACACCAGTGAGCTCACAAGAGCTAGCCATTATTGAACCGTCGGACACTCGTAAGGTGAATTTTGTAAACTTACCACAATGGTCAACTGAGGTCACGTGCATAACCATACTCGGGTTCCGTATATGTATCTCAGAAACAGTATACATTCACGGCACGAGATTCCAGAGTTTTGGCATAGGGTTCGGATGTTGATATCTACCTCCAATGTGAAGTTGGCAGCGTGACCTTAGGGAACTGGGAGTGATATTTTGCCGACTTACACTTTTAGCAACAATCGTATGGTCAGAAGTTTAGAAAATTGTAAGAAGTTAATTAGCGGTATCAGGAAGTGAGCGTAAGGGAGGATGGAAAGTTATGGAAAGTAGGTGATGGTTAGTTGAGTTTTGCATACTTTCGGAACAGTGCACCCAGGTAACAATTCCTGATCACACATATCGTGGAAGTTGTTTCTCTGATGCATATGAAAGATAAAAAAGGTTATTTTTACGTGACCCCAGAGTTCAAGGAATACCTGTTTGAAATCTATCACAAACTACATTTTTAAGATTATTAGATTGAGACTTTATTGTGCTAAATTAGAACACGAAACGTAGATACTGCTGGCACCGGAATACTGCAGGTCGGAGAGGACTGGACTATTTTGGGGGAAAGCCTTTTCTGATCGACCCTTCTTGCCGAAAAGGCAATATCCACATGATACTTCTGGTCATCCGAGGGGAACACCTTACTGCTCCTACGACTCGTCCAACGAGCACTGACTTCACCCCCAGACCTCCATTATAACGTAGCTATTTACGGTATGACGATAACTGCTTTTTGTCTTGTCAACAGACCATTCTAGCATGACAGAACCTCAAGAAAAAAGCGTTCTAGCCAGCGTAGCTTGTTGTGCCATTATAATAAGCTCGACCACCACACCGAGATGTAATTAGGTAGATTATAAAATTTGAGATGAATGTGAGATAAATGAATGTGTGACAGTTGAGCACAAACGGTAATGACTAAATTTGTAGGCATAAAAATGGAAAAAAGTGACAATAAGGTTAAAAAAAATGGGTATGAGAAGAGTGAATAGTTACATGAAAATTAGTGAAAATATTCAAGACTTCGAAGATCATAAGAAAACTGTACATATCTTCACTACTGTGACCAATATTCAGTCATGTCACAGAGTCTCCAATGATTGATTTTTGTCGCCAGCCAGTCTACACCTTGCTACATGGTTCAGACCAACAGTTAAAAACTTCATGAAGTGGCGCTACATTTGGGTAAGGTCATACTGAGCCTTCTTTCAATCTAATCTTAATTTGGCTAGTAGTACACGCTGATGTAAGCAGTGCCTCTACATGTGCAATACATCCCCAAGCCACCTTGGATGTTGAAGGTTGATAATTTCATCTACTAACTTATCTTACCTGTCTAGAAACCCTCCGCCTTTCCTCGACATTGCCCACACAGTGATTCTAGAACACATAAAGAATGTTATGGATACACCTATGATCAAAATTTTGTAACCTCTTCACATCCCTTACTTTTAACGGCCACATCTCAACCGTATAAGATGACAGGGTGAACTGTAGCACTGTACACTCATCATTTGATTACCGAATAGCAGCATAAACAACCCCCATCATATCCCAGTAAACTTGTCGGTACATTTGTAAAAAAGGAATATCTTTGTGCTCTATAAATCCTAACCAACGCATTAGAAGAGTAGATATTTCAATAACACCATATAATAATGAGATTTAACGTTCTAAAAAATGCCACAACGAAAACTAAACAAGTTAAACCATTCAAATAAATTTATTTCCAAAGTCCCATACATCAGATTTTTACACGAGTAACTACCTGGAACATGATGTACAAAAAATAGACCGCAATATGCCATTTGAAAAGATGATAAAAGTAGTAGTTAACTGAGAAACAAAGTTATCACAAATTAATTCTTTTAGACAGCTCCAAAAGAAAAAAAAACAAGATAACAACACGCTTACTCGTAAGAAATAACAGATCAAAATGACAGTAAGTAAAAACCAGAGATGCATCATACAGAAATTATGGCTATTACTGACGAGTAGCATCCTGTCTTTCCAGATCTGTATGCTTTGATCAATTTGAGTACACCAATCTGGAACTAGACCATTTTCTAAGTAACTTGTGCGACTCAATGAACGACCCGGTAAGCATTCTAATGCACCAAAAATTGCACCTAGAAATAGAGAAAAAACTTATAAGTATGTTCAAAAATATATCTGGTTCTTCTTTTATAAATCAAATATTTAATATGAATATCGGTAATTACCCTACGAATTAGGGTTACTGACTAGTGTTTAAAAAAAACAACTAATTTTCAGTGCTAGCTGATGATAGATTATTGGACTCTTTATTTCCATATTATCAAATAAGCAATTATCAAATTCGGTATAAATATGCATAGGATATATCATCTCATGATGATTGGCTTAAATGAAGATAATTGTTGATTTGATAAAATTTATGACTAGTTTAGATCATTGTCAAATACATTCGAAATGCTCAAAATTGCTAAAAACTAGGACTTTTGAGATAAACAATCACCATAAAGAATCATTTCCCCTTAACTAACTCATTTTTATATTTTGAACGTTTATATAGATGGAAGGTATATTTCGAAAAGATTTGATGACCAAGAGAAGTCTACGAAATCAACAAATCAGTAAACACATGAACGCAGACTCTTTAAGAACAGTTAATACTCTTTACTAGATGTTTGAAGATCAGATGTCTCAACAAAGATCTCGACTAGTGTATTCAGTAAAACTTAAAAACACTAAAAGATGAGAAGAGTGTAATCACTGAAAAAAGATACATAGAGGCGTGAAAGGAATTATTAATAAAACAATACAAATCAGTAATTACATGCAGATTCACGCATTACTTCATGAACGAAAAATGAATGTGTAAGGGTTAATTTTATCATCTGGTTATGCACAGCTCAATACTAGGCTGGAATCCTAGTTGGTATGTGGCTAACTTAGTTAAAGAAGAAAAAGATCTCGAGGTAAAACCAACATATCAATCTCCGCAACTGGTTAGCATCATAAACCCTTAGACAATAAGTGTGGTTCATAGCCTAGTACATGAACTCGTTCCAGTTTCACTTGAGTTAGGCACTTTAGAGACCATTGCGTTAATCTTTAGGTCTTATAAACTACTTAATACAACTCTGATGGACAACTTGTTTATATATGAGGGAATGATGAATGAAGTTAAAAGCAAACTACAACACAGGTAAGATTGGAACTAGTCAACTGTTTTAGATGCTAAACAAATGCAATTTTTCGAATACCAAATAAACGTTTTAGAAGGCTATGTTGATGCTCACCAATTCTGATATACAAAATTATAAACCGCAGCATACCTTGTCTGTCCAACTGTCTTTGTTAGCGCTCATGTCGACCGGGTGCCTGTTATTTAAATAGATGGTAACTTGGCAGTAACTCTGGTGTGTGGGTTATCTTATAGTGAAGTTAAGGCAATATAGCAGAAATAAGTAACAGATAACTAATCGTATAAACAGTCACTTACATAGACTGTAACCATAAAGTTAGAAATACGGTATCACAAGGTTTTCGTGAACGTGAGCGAATCGAATCGAAATGAACTCAGCAACCACGTGCACACCCCTGCAGTAGGCAATGAGCCACATCAATTGTGTTAGGACTAACGATACCCCTAGGTATATGGAGTGGACTCTGAACTCTTAATCACTGGTTAAAAGTCAACTGTCTAAACTAATGAATTAGTTCCCGTAGAGGCAAACAGTATCCTAGAGTTTACCATGGCTTAATTCTAGTCAGTCCCGAAAAAGTAATTACTGAAACAGCAACTATCTTCTTTGACCAAAATACGAAAAACCTTGAATCCTCGCTTTCTTTTTTGACTGAGATGAAGAAATAAAAAAGCTGGAAAAAATAATAGAGTGTATTGGGGTCTGTTTAAACACCTAATGGCTATCGTATTATTCTAGCTATTGGAAATAAAGTTGGTTAGAGCCATGTGGATTGTTAGGAAACAAGATATTATGTAGAAAAACTACAAACTGGCGGTTCGAAATCAAACATAACAAAATACCATCACTTCGGTTGAGTGACAGTTGCACCAAAACTGGCTCCCAAGTCATCAAATCCTCTTACCGATACACACTCTTCAATACACTACCTACAACTTTCTGGACACCTGATACTTGTGCTCAGTTATTTATACACACTGCAGCATATATCTTTTGTTCCCCGACCAAATATTCTGCGTATGCAATCCACATCAAATCTTCGAAACAAATAACAAGTTGTGGTAATTTGGTTGGTTGTGGCTAGCAGAGGAATCCAGAACGCGCGTTTCGTCCAATTTGGGGCTTGTCAGATGGATGTACCTGCAATCCTGTGAGTGATGTTGTCCCCACTGAGACTCGAACCTCGTACCCATTGCTGCAAACCCCAAGTCGTTACTCACTATGCCACGGAGGAACGACAGCCACTCTTCTTGTGCAACGAGTGGTAGTTATTACTATTTATTGATTAAGTGTGTAATTCTCCAACCAAATTACTATCATTAGCACTTAGTTAATATCGAGGCATCCGTATAGGAGCCCCATATACCAATTGACGTCGGACAATTCGATTCAGTGAAACAACGGGGAATTAAAAGTTTATCAATTAATAGAAATAAATCACAAGTTGGTTTGAAAAATCGTATCGTCGTTCAATAGTGCTCGGTTACAAAATTGTTTGTGAGCTGAGACTGATGAGTCATTATTTGAAAATCTGCAAAGGAGAATATAAATTCATTCCTATAATTATTCGAATGCTTAAGTATAGGTATTCGTTTACACAGATGATAACTCATGGAGACTTACCACCAAGCCATCCTACGTAATTCGCTTCGCCAGGAGGATTGTGGAATTTAAAAGACCCCTTCAATGCATGCAGTTTTGAGAACTCAGGAAGTTCCAAGTGTGAATTGAGCTCTTCCATAAGGCGAGGTATGAAACCAGGAAGCATGGTTGTGCCACCGATAAGTACTATGTTTTCTGCTAACTTCCTAGTATTTAAAACAAAATTACTTAAATGAAAAACAAAGTTGATCTTGCAAGTACGACACGATACATTTACCTTCACTATGATACATTAATAAAACAAAACAAACTACCTCTCGAGGTTCCTATGAAGCCTATGCACTGAAAAAAAACAGAGTGCACCCAGCAGCCATGAGCACGTTCGTGCAACTAGCACTGCGTTTCATCCACTGTGTGACGGTCAATGTACTACCTGGCTACGCAGACCTCGGTAGATAGAGTGAGATTCCAACCGGTGACCCACTGGTTGGGTTACCTGCCTAGTCCAATGAGTGACAACTATACATTCATTGCACCCTGAAAAGATGAAGAATACTTAACATACCATTAAATTGACTTATAACCCACAAGTCACTTTAGTCAGGTGTCATGATTGTAGCACTTATTGTCACAATCAAAGTGAAGGTGAGCAGTCTAACAAAAGAGACCTAGGCTTCGCGCACTTGGTTTGTGAATACAAAAACAATAACTACAAGATAAATTGAATTTTGAGGGAGTTGTGGGGATTTAGAAGTAACAACTTGGAATTACAACATACTCAAAAAAAAGTGGTAACGTCCATTCAAAACAAAAGCAGCTGATTCAAAGCTGATATATTTGTGGTAAGATTTCTGAATAAAACCGAATTTTTAGATAGGATTGCTTCCCCAGCACTCAAATAAGAACTAATAAGACAAAAGGCGATTGTAGCCATAAGGACTTACAAAATAGCAGTAGAGAAACGAAAAAAGGTAGCGCTGTAGAAGTTGAGTTGGGAAGACGTAAACAAAACTTTTAGCAAACAGATGTGATGAACCAGACAGTAGCAAGTTTAAGACCATGCAAGATTATTGAAACTTATTTTGTATCAGTTTCGAATGAATCTAGAATTTCATCTCTGACTATTGAATATTATAGATTGATAAAGTGCCTTGTTGAAATTGATCTCCTCTAAGCCATCTTGATAACAAATATGATGTACTATCCCAGTATAAACAATAACTTTAGTCACCACAGTCTAGTAGCACGAATTCATTCCTGACAATCTTCCAGTATGCAACAAATTGGCATGTCCTGTCACTTTCATTTGAATTCACCTACAAGAAAGTGGGCTTTTTCAACATACTCTTGTTCAGTTGGAGCGCTAAATAAGCGTACTATGAAAAGTTTATTTTACACACTGTCGGTAACTTGCTTTTTACGTAGATGATACCGATTTTGCCAAATCGTCATCAGCAATAAAAATAAAAGCCTAATAAATGCAGCTTTGTTTTTTGCCAAATAACGCTCTAAAACCATTTAGTCACGTATGGATGATTCATCAACCGCATCCCTGAAAAGCTGCGTCCCAGGATGTTGTCTCGTTAGTGGGAAAACCAACATGAATAAACAGTCAAGGGTGTATGCAATAACAGTCATGCTCGAATATAATGCAAAACGAGATTCTTGTCATCAGAAATAAATTTTAGAACATGGAGCATGGGTAGATATATCTACTGACTTACTGGTCAGTAATGTTAAATAAACTATATAATACGTTTAAACGGCACTTACAGTTAGCTAAAATGCGTTAGTCATCAGTAGATATCGTTCCTATCCACACTAAGATGCTTTGGACACATAAGAACAAAACAGTTCAAATAGAAACCCAGATAAAATGTCATTAAACGGAGTTGGCTTGTTATTAAAATAAAGGGACCCAAGATAGATAACAAAGGCTGATTTTTTCGTGGTACAATTTTTCTTACTGAGTTCGTGATACTTCGAAGAATCGGTTACGATCTAGTGCTTGATTGAATACCAAAAAGGTAAGCACTGAAGAACTGTTATTTGTTAGGAGGAAGCATATTCATTTCTTGCATACAACGTTGCTGCTGACCAACAAGTGTGAAATTAAATATTTAGGATTCCTCAATTCTAGCCAACTTTGAGAATAGCTCGACTACAATAAAACTTCATTAGCAACTACAACCTATTACTCGCCTTTCAGGCCACAAAATTCCACCAAAACACCGGAATTTTCCCATCTAAAGATAGTTATTGGCATGTGACAAATTATTTAGGTCGGCTTGGTATAACTTGGAAATCTGAAGACAATTACAGTCACACTATCATGTTAACTACACACCCAGTTGCAACACGCATACCATGAATGAAATACTAAGTCTTCCAGCTAAAAGTTTGACGAGGCCAGTCCATGAGAGCATATGACTACGTTTACGCTAAATATTGTGCGGTAACCATTGCAGCGTAAAAGGGTACACTTTAACTAGGGGTTTCAATGTTACGCGAGTTAAACTACTGAACCCACCCTATGCACCATATAATCTTCAAGCAAGAATAAGGCAACAATCTAGTGATAACAGCTAGCCTGTATGGGTATTTATTGAAGTTATTCAGTGGCGAAATATGCTTCAGATGCGAATTCAGAACATTCTTAAAAACGAAGAAAGGAAGAAAATAAAGATTAATGTGCGACTCATATCGACATCCCAATTTCATGAAACAACAGCATTAAAACTGTTGACTCAGCATACTTAAAAAGTATGAATAAATGCCAGGAAAGCACTTCGTTAGAAAAAACACCAGTTGGTTTACGTGAAAAACTAGTTTCGCGCAGGCGATCAGAAGTAGTACCTTCTAATATCAATTGGTACTAGCAGAAGTGATTTCAAGATTAGTGTAGTGATCGTAATTTGATCATTGTCTCCGGAGAACAAACATTCGACTGCCAACTCCCGAATATCTGAAGGTACTTGGATGGGTCTTTCATCGCCTAGACTATCTAGAGGGAAAATAAATGTTTCCTCATAAGAATCAGGCTTTTTGATCGATGAATCAGCAGAATCCTGCCATTTTTTCCATTGTACTGCTCTACTTTGCGGACTAACGAAACATGTACGGACTAAAATCAATTAGATATAGATACCACGGTACCTTTTATGTCTTCAATAGTGTGCTCCGACACAAAATGATCTGGACACGGGGAAAAATGAGACTCCTCATTTATCACATCAACCAATCTAGCCTTTTCATTTAAGTATGATCTGATGTTCCTAAATGCACAAAATTATGAACATATGTTAAACGTAAAGTACTCATGAATCCGTTTGCTACCAAGTTGCGCTGCCTGCCAAGCATTTAATAATGTATAACCTTCATAAACCTGAATATGGTATCAATACATACCTATTACTTACCGGTATGATTTGAGCATCAGTATAACCACAATCCAATACAACTGCAGCAGAAATACCAAGAGTGAACAAAGCCATCAAATGTGACGATGCAAAAAGAACAGATGGAGCCTATATAGGTGACTAGATCAGCGGTATTTTACCTCAAAATGGTTAAACAAAACTTCTGCCAATACTTCCCGAAAAGATGAAGGGCAAAGGACACTTTCAACAATAACAACCCTTCGGTCTTTTGGATTCACCAATAAATGCCTACCAAGTATAGAACGCATGAAATGAAAGGATGTGGATACCGATAATAGATATTGTGCAGGAAAGTTATCAAGAACTCCTGCCTTTTATCTTTTTCTCTAACAGAAGTGAAACTTTTTCGTGCACCCGTAGGCTGAACAAGTTAATGTATTACACTAGTCAGACAAACCACAGTAATCTCCGTCGGTATGATGAACCTTGGTCCGGTTTCTCCTGCGAAACCGCACCTAGCTCATTAAAAGCACTGAAAATGACGCTCACTTTGTGTAAACAGAACCTATATCAAAAACAACAGCTGTTTTTTCACCTAGCATTAACGACTCCAGACCTGGCATTTTGAAGTTTTATTATGTACCGCAACTTCCAAAGTGCCTTCCAAACTTCCTTTAAGACGTCAACATCCAACATCCATAATGCAAGTAGAGGAAACTTGTAGTTTTTGTAATCTCACTTCTATGTCTTGAGGCTGAATGTTTTTACTCAGCCACACCCCTTCGATGGTCTCAGAAACCTTCTCATTTAACTTACTTGTTGCTTAGGAAGCAGTGGTTGTCCATGTGCAAGTTTTCTTTGCAAATTGTAGTCTAGTTTATTTAGCGGAACCTTAGATCTTTCAATAAAATCAGCTAACTTTTTGCAGTTCCTGTTGTTGGTAAGAACCTCTAAATAGGTAGTAAGCGCTGTTCGAATATTGTGAGAAATAAGGTGGGTAGAGAATAAAAAGAAGCGAGTATCTAATATCTAATGTTTTTTACGTGCTAGTGTAAACCGACTGATTTCTTCGCTCTAACCTCCAAGTCTTGTGGAACGGTTCCAGGTCTTTGGTTGGTTCTGATGCAGTTGGTCCACCTACTCACCTGCTGTAGCTGTGGTTAGCCCGACGGGTGGAAAACAGGTGTTACTAGTAATGACAGAGGTCGCATGGGTAGCATTCCGATTACTGCAGTTGGGTGATAAGGGGGTGTATAGGCATGCCTTCAGTTGCTACCAAAGAACGGTGGTGGTTAATCGTTCGCCCTCCCGTGCTTACAGAGCAGTTGTGAAGGGATCAGCTGAGGTGTCCGTGGCAATTTCCTTTAGAGAAGCATTCCGTGGTCTATACTCTGTGAGAGACGAGGCTAGATCTGACTTTTGCCTTCTCCCCCTGTTGAGAAATGTGCTGGGGGTTGAGACAAAACTACTTTTTTGGCCCGCAATTTTGACCTGCTTGGGTGATTCACTTGATGGATGACGCTGTAGGCCGTTATTAGGTCCTGTCTTCACTTTTGGTGGAAAACTCGGTTTCGGCTTCTGGATAGTAAACAAAGTAGTCTGCGATAATCTCGGCAGTTTAAATGTCTATAAAAATCCGGCCGTTCTTCGAGGGTGTTCATCGAAAGAGCAGCTTGCATTGCCTAGTAAACTTCTCGAGGAATTTCCATCTGTTATAAACTTTTTTACCACTGACTCATATTAAATAAGTAATAATCTTCGACGCAATCATTCAATTTTACCCGCTTGACTTTCCCGCCACAGCGTTTGGGATGAGCGTGTTGTGCTGCTACCGTTGACTTCTTGCTTGCCATGTTGTGGCTGTCTGAAGCAAACCGTCCTCAGAGTTAGCCGTAAACCAGGGCACAACATTGATTAGCTCGACAGCGTTCATCCATTGATTTCATTCATTTAACGCGTTTACTCCTTCACTGGTTATTTTTTGCTTTGTACATTAAAATGTCTAGCCTTATAGATAGTGATTTCGGTATTGTGAAAGAGTTTGTTTTACTTAGTGGACACTTCAGTGGCTACTAAGAGCCGACTGCTAAGGAAAGATGCCCGGACAGTCGCATATTCCATGTCACAGACAGAATATTTAACATCAAATTCATGGTGGATACGGCGGCCGCTCTCAGCATTTTCCCTCAAGACTTGGTCGAGCATGGACATCAAAGACCCATAATCGTGCTGCAGATTGGACAGATCGGACAGAATGCCATAACCCTTGAACCTAGATATAAACGGCAGCCTTCTTGTGTCTTCATCATAGCAGACCTAGGCCTAGCAATACCGGGTTTAGACTTTCTTAAAGAGGTGTGAATTTTTAGTGGACACAAAAATAGGAGGTTGACATTGTGGGAAAGTTCTAGTTACAGCATGGTTAAGGCGAGTTCCAACACATCCACAAACTATGTTGAATCTCTCCCAATATCGACAGAAAGATTTGAAAGTATATTGACGGAGTTTACAAGCCGGATGTCACCTAACACACACACTCACTTTAGTACCAAGGTGAAATCGCTTGAAAACACAGGGCCTCCTCTTATCTGCAAGACCCATTAAACTGGCGGCAGATGAGTAGAAAATCTCTGGGTCCGAATTTGATTACAGGCTTCAGGTAAGCGTCATCCGCTCTTCCAGCAGTCAACGCCCAAGAAAAATCAACCACACTGGCCACCATGTGACGACTACGGAACTCTGAACAAAAGAACCATTCTTGATAAATACAGAGTACCTCATGTCCAATATTTCAGTAACTGTTGTAAAGGCACCACTGCACTCACTAAACTTGACCTGATCTCTGCTTGTCGCTGCCCCTACGGTCGAAGAGGACATTCCAAAAACATCTATCACCAATCCATATCCCCTATTCCGGCTTGAGTGGATACCTTTTAGCCCTCAGCACGCTGCACAAACTTTCCAGCGATTTATGGATGATCTGCGAGATTTAACTTTCACGGAGGCGTTCATTGATTACTTAGTGATCACCAACCGGGATACGCACCCACATGGAGACCACATATGAGCAGTTTCGAGAAAAATGAACGACAGCGGCACGGTGGTAAATCAGAACGTGTCATCGGGGTCGATACCGTCGAATTCGTAGGGCATACGGTTAATATAGAGGGAATATTACCACTGCCAAAACAGATGGATGCTATCGGTTAGTAACGACTACTCACCTCCATAGCGCAACTAAGAAGTTTTCTTGGCCCAATTGCTCTTCGTCACAGATTCGCACCTTGCTGCGCACCACATTTGCAACCCATAATTGACACCTCAAGGGAAAATCCCTAGGACTTTAAGCCCTCAACAGAAGCCATACAAAGTGCCAACCAACTGAAAACAGCTCTAGCAAAGGTTACAACTTTAAAATGCCACGATTTCAGTGCACTGCTAGTACTTATGGCAGATGCTTACTACAATGCTCTGGAGCAGCACTCATTCAGCTGGTGGACAATCGCTGGAAACCGGTGTTGCCCTTTTAAAAACGCCTTCATCCATCAGAGACTCGGCATTTGGCCTTCAGCCGGGAGCTGCTGGGAATCCTTTCAGCTTCCGTCACATGGTGTAAGGTAGGACGTTTGCAGACGACACGGACCACAAGCCTTTAACTTACGTGAGAAATGCAGTGCCTTATAGGTACCTGTCACGTGAACTTCGTCAGTTTGCTTTTATGTGGCAATTTACGAGAGATATGGGACACTCTAAAAGGTTACGTAAAATTGCATGGCAAACGCTCTGTCTAGAGTTAACGTAAATGCTACTCATCAATCCACTAGAGATTTCAAGGCGTTGGTTGCAAGTCAAGAAAACAAAGAGTGATCGGGAAATTTGCTTTCTAGTGGTAGCTGTAGCCTGAACCTCAAATAGTCGCCTTCACCCACTGACGAAGGGCGTAATTACAGTGGCACGATATGAGATCCGTCCAAACCTTATGTTACCAAAAGTATGAGACGGTTGGTATTCGTTAACTCCCGCCCATTGTAACACCCTGAAGCAAGGGCCTCCGCTAAACTTGTGGCCGATAAGTATAGTCGGCCCAATTTACAGCGGACATGCTCACACCACTACTGCAGAAGGTTTGCAAGGAAGGAAGGAAAGGTACCCGTTGATAGACTGGAAGGACGGCTACCTTGTCAAACTTCCAAAGAAGGGAGACCTAAGGCTTTGCAAGAACTGGCACGGAATCATCCTTGTGTCCACCCGAAGCAAAATATTAAGCCGCATCATCCCAGAGAGACTAAGGGATGCGCTAGATTCAAAAGTGCGACCCGGAATAGGCTGGAATCAGGAAGAACAAACCATGTGCAGACCACATTGCAACGCTATTCATCATCACTGAACAGAGTATAGAATGACAGTCAACTCCCTACTTCCACTTCCTTAATTTCCAAAAGGCCTTCGACAGCGTCGACCGGGAAGTAAGTTGGCAGTTGCTTCAACACTACGGAGTGCAACGAATCTTATCAACCTCATTCAACAGCTGTATAAAGACTCCACATACCAAGTGATTCTCAATGGAAGGCTCAGTGACACCTTAGAAGTAAAACAAGAGTAAGACAAGGTTGCCAACTATCACAGATCATCTTCCTGATTGTGGTCACGGCAGCAAACCGTGAGCGGCGAGAAGAGGGGGATACGCTGGACCGGAGAAAAGAGCCTAGAAGATTTGGGTTTTGACGATCATGGCTTATGTCTAATGTCTTGTGGCATTTATCGTTTCATACAGTTTTCGTCCGAAAAGTAACATTAGTCTGTACTTTAAATCGCTGATAATAACAGCACCAGAAACACTTCAGCACTATTCTGGTTTTTTGAAAATGCAAAGAACATCTCTAAGAATCAAAGATGAGATGTTATTGGGCACAAACGCGAAGATCTGCAGGCAAAAACCAACAAGCTGACAGGAGAGGCAGCGAAAACGGGATCTCAAGTGAATGTAGGGAAGACGGAGGTGGTGAAGACACCCAAACAACAACAGTATCAACAACAAGCACCAATCACCATTAACGGGAGAAACCTAAAGGAAATAGTCTCTTTCACCTTCTTAGGCGGCATCCTTTCAATTACAGGCGGCACAGACGAGGATGTCAAAACCAGGGTCGGACAAGCAAGATAGGCTTTCACTGACATGAAATCAGTGTGGAGATCTACTCCCGTCAGTACAAAGAACAAGATCTGGATTTTCAACGCAAATGTCAGGTCAGTGCTGCTATATGGTTCAGAAACTTGGCGTGCCACGAAAAGTACGTCCAACAAACTAGACATTTATCAACAGATGTCACCTACGCTCACTTGGTACTGAAAACGAGATGGCGAAAAAGAGTGAGCTACAAGGAACTCACTATGGCTGGCAATGAACCGACGAGGCAAGAACCCATAGCTCAACAAATATGCGGAAGAAGAAGATGGATTGGACCGTACGTGCCCTGAGAAGACGGTTTGAGGATATCACGCGCCAGGCCAGGTCCTCGAGTGGAACCCGAAGGGGAAACGGCAAGTTATGCGTCGGAGGGTGACATGGTGGAAATCCTTTGAGGAAGGAATGAAAGCTTGTAGGCAGTGGTGGAGCTAGGTTGAAAAGATTGCAAAAAACAGAGTGAAATGGCGACGTGCTACTGA